AAGTAGCAAAAAATAGCGAAAAAGGGGGTATTTATAAAAATCTAGTAATATTTATATTCGGCTTCAGGCTTAACGCCGTTCGTTGGAAAATTAGACGAAAAGCGAATAAACAAAAATTACGCGCGCACTTAGCAAAGGTTAGACCAGCCTAACTTAAAGGATTAAATCCGGAAAAGTTGAAAAATTACTTGTTTTAATTTTTTTTGGTGCAGTTTTAGTGAATAAATACCAGCTAAAATGTAGAGAAAAATATTATTAGAACCAGAGGTAAATGTTTGACTAACTACGTTTCATTTAGATGTAATATTTTCAGGTAAATAGTTAAAATTTTGTAATAATGTTTGACGTAAACCATATTAATTTTCATATTTTTTTTATAAAAGCTAGTAGTTGTTTGTAATAAAATCCATACTACTTGATTTTCTAGGTATTATTGAATTTGACTTTTAGGGAGCAAATATAGGTTATCTAGATTTTTTAGATATTCTATATATTGTAGAGATTCTTCTGGATATTCTAGGTGTGCCAGACATTCTAGATAACCTAAAAATTCTAGGAAACCCAGATATTCTAGATAACCGATGTATCTAGGATAAATATCTAGGTATTGTAAATAATATAAATGTTTTAGCTAATTTAGAGTTCCTAACGTTTCTAAATTTGCTAAATAACCCAAATAATCTGGATATAATCAAATCCAAATATTCATAGATTTTTTATATTTTCTCGGCATTTTATATATTCTATATATTGTTAGATATTTAGAATGTCTACTACTACCATTCCAGTTATATAGAACATTCTATATAGCCCAAATACTCCAGACGCAGACGCAGTGGGTACCCTAGATATTTTAGATAGCCTGTCTAGATTATATAGAATACCTGGAATGTTTCAAATATTTAAAGTATCCAAAGTATTTGAAGTATCTGCTTTAAATATTCTAGATATCCTAAATATTCTAGATATTCTAGATATTCAGGATATTCTAGATATTCTAGATATTCTAGATATTCTAGATATTCTAGATATTCTAGATATTCTAGATATTCTAGATATTCTAGATATTCTAGATATTCTAGATATTCTAGATATTCTAGATATTCTAGATATTCTAGATATTCTAGATATTCTAGATATTCTAGATATTCTAGATATTCTAGATATTCTAGATATTCTAGATATTCTAGATATTCTAGATATTCTAGATATTAGATATTCTAGATATTCTAGATATTCTAGATATTCTAGATATTCTAGATATTCTAGATATTCTAGATATTCTAGATATTCTAGATATTCTAGATATTCTAGATATTCTAGATATTCTAGATATTCTAGATATTCTAGATATTCTAGATATTCTAGATATTCTAGATATTCTAGATATTCTAGATATTCTAGATATTCTAGATATTCTAAATATTCTAAATATTCTAAATATTCTAAATATTCTATTTACATTCTTGTAAGAAACTTTAAGAACGTCTTATTGATTTGATCTATACCTATTTTAGACCAGTACTTTAAAGAATTTTAAAAACTTCATGTAATTAAATATTCTATTACCCGTATGTCGTTTAAATCATCGTCAGATTTAATTTTTGATTAATATTGAGAACGAAAAATGGCTGTAGGAACAGCGTGTCGTGACTGGAATACCGTGCCAATCAAATATAAATAATGTCGCCTCGTGTTGCTTTTGCAAATCTTGGCTTGCAATAAATTGTAGGCGATAAAGCCCCGACTGAGTTTTAAATAAAGTCTTAAAAATGAATGAAACAACGGTATTACTCTAACAAAACACGTAAATTATTGAAGCCAATAAAGCAATTTTTAAACTTTAAAAGAAGGAATCTGTTCCTTACTTTAATAATAACTAGCTGTCCCGGCTATAGATCTTATAGATCTACTGTATCCCCGTAAGTTTCTTGATTTTTAAATCATACAGCTTTGAGACGGTTTTACAGAGGTTAGTTCTCCATCTCCGATTTCAATAGTACTGAAGTAGAACGAATGGTTGTCATCTCGGCGCACTCAGTGATTAAGTGTTCTGGTGTTTTCCCATTTCGCCAGAGAATCTGCATTCGTACTTTCATCGCTCTTTCGTACCACCTCACATTCAAGTGCGATTTTTTGTCAATTTTGTAGTACGTATGACTGGTACGTATCTCTGTTTTCCTTTCTCTACTATTTTTTTTTCTAAGCTTTAACCTACTACCTATGTTGCCGTATTATTAGGATATATTTTTTGAACTGAAAAGTAAAAAGAAATTTGATTTGAATTTTTTTTTTTAATTTTATACCTTTTAAATTTAAGAAAAAATTGCCAAAAAACTCATAAACGTGTTCCTGACCACTTCTAAAAATATGTGCAATTCTTTGAGACTCACACTGTAAAAGTAATTACCGAAAATACGGTCACCTACGCAAAGATTAATCGATCTCCCTTCGGAGATTTGAAAATGAAAAAGCATCACCAAGCACAAAAGAGACGGAGGGACGTTTGCATCTCTCTCTTCCTCATTCTCGCCCCCTACAAAATATATCGAGCCCGGCCCTGGAGTGATTGATTGCCAGCGGCGCTGCAAGTGAGATAAATACAATTGTCCTGCCAAAAACACGAACTATTCCATAATTTACTCATCATCGCATCGCATCGGGCAGAAGACACATTTCCAAACGCTTGACTGCTGCCGAAATATTACACTCAATATTTTATTCGTTTCTTTTAGTTGGTTGTGGCCACGAAAGGGAGTTTTTCGTTTCCTTTCTTTTATTTCGGGTTGATTTTGATTAGGAATCATACATTACCATAATTGTGCAAGCTATGATTCACACATGTTTCGTCTTGATTTTTGTATTAAATGCAAAGAAAAAGAATTGGGAGTTAAAAATGATGAAAAATAAAATTCATATCTTAGATTTCATTGAAGCGATTGTAGTAGACAATAATTCAATATTGATACTAAAAGAATTTCACTAAATTTCAAGCCTTTATTGTTGAAGTATATCACTGACCTTTATCAACTGTGAACTCATCCAAACCCTAAAACTACTGGGCTTATATACCATACGATCTAAAAAATAATGGCAAATCAAAGACATATGGGGAATGGCAATCGATGTTAGTTTTGGCGACGTCAAGACCTAGATGTCATTTACTGGACCCTTACTTTTTTTTATTTATTTAATTTTGCTTACTGCCAGCTGTCATTGAAGGTTCTCATTTATTTTTATATTATTTAGAAATGGCTTTTGAATGGTGATTCAAGTAATAAATAGGTTTTTTGGAAATATATATATTTGATATCAATTAAAATTTTAGTTACGTAATCGAGGGCACCATTTTTAAATTCATTGTTGCCAACCATGGAGATATTTGGCGCCGGACTGACTAACTGGAATTTAAATTTTACGCTGAGGATTCAGGTGATAGCTCTACTATGAAAAATGTCAAGTTTACGAATTTATTTATTTCCTGACATTGTCATTCGATTTGACACTTTAGTTTTGTATTACGAGTTTTTGGTATAAATAAATAGTTTTCTGATACTTTAAGCTAAGTAATGTTTACTAGCAGACCTTGAAGTCGAACATTGTTCTTTTTAGAACCTCTGTTAGTGCGAAGTATACAAGATAGCTTAACAGCCGTAAAAAAATAATCGTAACTTTATTAGAATATTTTGAACGGGAAAGCGGTAGTAATGACCCTTTATGTCCCTTAAGTGCTGTTAAGAAGGTGAGTTTGGTTGATGTAAATAATGACTTTATATATTTATAATTAATTTATTTTTGTTTCCTAAAATATTTTGATGAAAAGAAAATATATAAAGGTGGACAACGCTGCGCCGATCAAGCTTAATCACGTGACTAAAAGTTTATTTAGTATGAACTGTATGTCTGTCTAGAAACGCTCTATCTCTTTTAATCGTTCTATAATTAATGTTAATTTTTGATAAGTTTTATGTCAATTTTTAGTAATTTTTATTAAGAATGTTATCTAATTAGCAAAATTTTACAAGTTATGATACGCACATATTTTGTCTTCAGTTTTTGTAAACGCAATGACAAGAAATTAGGATCTACAAATCATTTTTTGTTTGAAAATGTCCCAAATACCTTAGATCAATTGCTTAAAAATAGTTATCTCAGTTCTTATTAAAGCGAATGTAGTAGACAATAATTCAGTATCGATACTAACAGACTTTCATTGTTTTTATTTATTTTAACTTACACAACGTTCCCATAAGATGAGTTAGTGACCCTTATCAAGAGTGAACTATGGTATTCACCCGTGACGGAGTTGGGTGTACTCAAGCATTATGTTATCTACTGAGAATGCCTACATTGGTAAGTTATATAAGTGGTTGCCATATATGCAGATTTCTATACATGGATTATTAAAAATGTTATAGTTTAGTTAGGTTACTTACCAGTTCAAAGTGGCTATGAATAAGACACTCTGTATAGTGCTAAAGTAACTATTTTAATAGCCTGTGGAGTACAATATGACTAAAAATTAGTTTTATGGTAAAATTTATTTCTGTCAAAATTACATTATTTCTTTAACTATCAATGTTAAAAATCTCATTTAATGCTCTAGTATCTGTATTCAGGTCTGTATTTACCAAAATATTTTTTACTAAAATTAATTGTATTACTTACAGTAACAACCTGTAAGATTTTTAAGCGCATGTTAGTTAGTATCCTTATCTTAACTTTAACTTAACAGAAAATTAATGAAATATCATAATGGAAAGGTATTCACATGTATTTAGTTTTGTATTTTTTATTTGTAAGTTAATAAATCAGATAGAATCTCTGTATGAGTTAGAGAAAAGCTACCTTTGAAATGATAATAAACTTCGCCATATAATTTTACATATATATTTTTTTATTTAGATCAAATAGGTATGTTACTTTTTGTTGCCCTGTTAAAATATAACAAAAGTGATAAATACCAAGTAAAATAAAGTAATAAGTAACAAGAAACTTACCTCTCGCGGCTACAATAAGAACTAGTAAGATTACTGAGCGCATGTTAATATCTTTGAAGTCACATAAAGTCACATAAATAACATAATATTCAGTAGTAATTATATATCAGCGCACATATATCGTGTCCGATATTTATTATTTATTATTGTCAATATTTAGGATCGAAAAAAAAATTTTTTTTTAATATTGCCGGAAATATTTAGACTATTATTAAAAGAGAAAAATTTTTAGGGATGGTATTTATATATCTCTATATCTACTAGTGTTGACAACCAAGGGGATGGTGTGGATTGGAGGCACGCAAGAGAAGGGACACGCGAGAACTGAACCGCGATTTAACGGTCCAACTTTTCCCGCGTTGTCGGCCGATGGAGGAGGCGCAAAAGCGGTCTGCTGTCTCCCTCGTGCCGAAATAGTTTTCGGGGGAAGACGACGATCGTTTGCCGCCACTGCATCTAGGAGGTAATAAAAAATTTAGCGCCTCGGATCGGACGACGGCTTTGCTCTGGCCTCCCCTATAGTTTTGTGTTTTTGCGAGCGAGTTTGAAAGTTTTCTTCTCTCTATATATGCTTACGTAAATTCCTTGATGCTATAAAAATATTAGAAATAACGTCCATATCTCTGTTGCGTGTCCATTTCTTGATTGAATAATTCTGATTTTGATTGTTTTATTGCAGTTAAAGTTTATACAGGGTTGGTCTTGTATTGTAATCTGGAAACTTCGGCAGCATATTCTGCAGATAAAAATATGTAAAAAAAAGTTGTAAAAAAGTCCTAAAATACATTGTTTCGGAGATACAGGGTGTAGAATTTTCATTTTTATTTCGATTTTTTCTAAATAATTTCTGAACTAAGATGGATATTTGGATGAAAATTGGTGTCTGGATGTTTTTTGACATAAGAAATTTGATTTAAATGTCAATAAAGAGTCACTTATAGAGGGCGCAATAACTTTTCGACCGTACCTGTATAAAACTATTGAGTAAAAGAATACACATTTCCAACATTTTCCACGTAAAAAAGATGTCTTGGGAGAAATTGCTACGACTACTGGTTCTCGAGATATTTTAAATTAATACATATCATCATTAACAATAATTAATTGAACATGTTGACTACAAATTTATCAGACTGAAATCAAAAATTTGAAATGTTTTTGTGCCAAAGGTTCAACAGAAACTGTTTCATCTTTTTCTATAAAAAAAATATGATTAATTTAAAAAAAAATAAAAACTTCTCAGATTTAAAATTTCTCTCAAATAACTATCTAGTCAACATGTTTATTTGTTGTCAATAATGACATGTATTGATAATTTACATTCCAAATATCTTGCGAACGGTTAGTCGTAGCGATTTTTATCAAGAGACCTACTGTTTTACATAACCTACGAGTTTTACATAAAAAAACGGTAAAAATGTATATTTTTTACTTAGTAGTTTTATACGGGTGCAGACCAAAAGTTATTACCCTTCAAACTAGTAAAAAATTATGTAGGTGGCTCCTCCTACAGTCGAAATCAAATTTCTCATGTAAAAAAACAGACATCAATTTTCATCAAAATATTGACATAGTTCAGAGATTATTTGGAGAAAACCGAAATAAAAATGAAACTACTACACCCTGTATCTACTACACCCTGTATCAAACGAAGCTTTTTAGGACATAAATTAATACGAACGTTTTACCTACTTTTATTAGTAGAATATGCTGGCTAGATATGCTGGCGAAGTTTTCCGAATACAATTCGGACCACCGTGTATATTAGAACAATATTTAAACAATAATTCAAAAAGAATATATAGATCACATAAAAGATATATTAATAAAAAACGATCATCCACCGTCTTTTATTAGCAATACATTATACAAAATACATACTACGAGCCATAGACCCAGAATACACACAATGAAGACAAGACACAGTATATACAACTAAGAATTTCATGCATACATGCGTACGCGTTTCAAAAAAAATGGAAGGATAGAAAAATAATATACCTAACATACAAACGTCTTTCAACGTTCTTTCACCCACACTAAACAACAAACAAAAAATGTACAAAATATCATGTGAATGTGAGAAATTTTATATTTTTGAAACATCTAGACCGTTAGGTGTTCGAATTATAGAACACAAAAATTATTAAAAAGAGTGTGATTTTCGCAAATCTAATATTTGTAAGCATTCGTGGGACACAGGGCTCGGAGTAGATTTTAATAAGGCAAAAGTTATTATCCGACAAGAGATCTAACGCATCGGCTAACGTCGCTTAACTTCGTTGACCTATTAGGAACCTGTAGCTGGGCCATTGCCATAGTTAATTAGTGGATCTTTAAAAAAGTTTAATTTCTTCTACACTGCCTTTGATGCTGCAAACACCATTCTGGTTGTAAAGTATCAGCACGTACACCCAAATTCACCAAACGCTCTCTGTGAAGATGTAGTCTATCCTCTGCTTCAGTCCAAAAGAAATTTGGTTCGCTCCATAGAGCTTCGGCTAAGGCGGAAGCTCTGGGCCATATTTTAGAATCCATAGAATTGTGGTCTGCTATTTCTGTCCATAGAGCCGCCTCAGCTCCTAAGATATAGTTAGCTTTACTACCTAAAGAAATAGAAAGAAATTAACAAGCTTGCTTCATCTACGTGACCGTAGATGGGGCTAAAAGCAAAGTAGGGTTCTATATAAGACAAGGTTCCGTACAAAAGATTTTTTTTTACTCTTCGTCATTAATCGAAAACTATACGTCATAAAAATAATTAAAAATCTGTTTAAGCTTGTGCAAATAAAGCCTTGGCACATAATACCCCACATGACACGGTTAACTCAATTCAAATTTTGACTACCTAACGACCTAACCACCGCACCGTTTCTTTCATAAAGACCCTGTTTAGCCCAGTCAAATTAGGCAAATCGGTGGAAAGAAATTCCACAGTTTTGAAAATTGTTTTAATTGATTCTTCTAGACATGGGCTCATAAAAGCTATATCTGATATATATAAAAAAAACTTGGGGGTAAAAAGTTCGCGAAGATAGACGATGAGCTAGAGGAGGGGGAGGGGTTAAATGTCACTTTTTTGAATATTTTTAGCTTATATCTCGGAAAATATGACACCTACGAAAATATACCCTATATAAGAAATTGAAGCTCAGAAAATTCTCTACAAAATTCGTTGAATGTATTTTTTTCATAGGTCTAACCCTTTAACAGTTACAGGGTTGACAAAATTAACACTATTTCTCATATTGTATTTTCGCTTTTAAAATCCAATTAAATGCATAGTGCACCAAAAGAGAAAGTAGAAAAAATAATATGGCATTTTTTACATTGCTAAAAGTATATTTTTTATCTTACCTACAATATTTTTAGGTTTATTTTCATACAACTGCTGCCATGTTTTATAAGGTGTACACCAATTATTATCATCATTAGTGAAATCTCCAAATCCACAGTCCAAGTACAAACTGTCATAATTGCTTAAAATTACGCTGTAATTATTCCTCAGCAAGTTTTCCAAAGTCGAATCGTATACATTGGACCACATTTGAATGATGTACCTCTCCTTATCCAGCAATCTTGTAACATTTTCTATATTAGTCAAATCACTCGTCCACAATATTACTGGTATCTCTTTCCCGGCTTTTTTATAAAGACTTTGAACAGTTCTGTTTTGGAAATAAAACCAAGCTTTTTTGATGAAATTTTCTTTAGTTAGAGCCCATCCTTTTTCTGTCATCCATTTTTTCAGACTTTCTGTACTGTTCCAGCAATTTATATTGATTTCATCTCCACCCATATGGAATATTTCCGTACCAAATTGTTCTAATAGGTCTCCATAAACATCTAGAAGAAAAAAACGTAAAAAATAGAAAAATACAGAAAAGCAAATTTTACAATTTTCATGTAATTTAAATTTCAATATATTTTGTTCTAGTTTTTCATGCAATTTGTAGCTAAATTATTTGACCTTTTAACCTCTAATTAAATTAGAATTTAAAGCCCCATCCATTTATAACACGAAATAGGGACAATAATTGTCCGGGGTTATTAACACTTTATAATTCCCGTTGTGAATCGGTCAAGTGCCAATGGAAAGTGTTCATTTTGCTGGCAGCCATGGCTTTTATGGTTCTTTTAATGTACTTTATTGGGACATAGTTTCTTGCTGTATCCAGTATTATTCCTCTCCAAGGATAAATAGGTTTATCCGATATTTTTACGCTTTTAGAAGCCAAAAAACGTTTTCTTATATCGTCATATATTATTAACTGACTCAAAGTTTCCAGAGCGTGTCTAGCTCCAAAATATGTCTCACTCTGAATAGAAACATTCAATACACCTTCAATATGCTGGTTAATTTCCAAATAATAGCTTTCATCAGCTTTTAAAGTTAATATTGTCAAATCCTGATCAACTATATCAATTTTTATGTTCACAGAACTTGCATTTTTGGATCCTATACCTTTTTCTATAAGATTAACATTCTTTATTTGATTCAAAAATATATCAAACCCTTGGTATACCAAAGTGGAGACTAAAGAACCATTATGAAAACTTAAAGAAATGTTATTAATATTTATTTCGGTGAAATTTCCTATAGATGTGGTTCCTGTGGGGATTGGCCATAACCCCGCATATTCCAGACATTGAATGCTACACTCAGCAAAGCTCCACGTTGCTGATGAGTTTGGGGTAGTTTCAGTTTTTGTACATGATCCTGATTTACATTCGTAATGCCAAGGTGAACTGGAAGAACTAAAAAAAGATATTTTGTAATACTTTTTATTAATTTATACTTTTAGTTTAGTAGATTTAGAGTAGTTTAGTTAGTAGTTTTAGAGCAGAAATCTTAGATTATGCGTAAAATTTTATATGAAATTTAAATACCAGAATCCAGCAGCTTTTGTAATATTTCAATTTCAAAATAAAACACTAATTCACCACAATGATCCTTTTAAACATCAGTGTATAAATGTAAAGTGTTTTGGTTTATTTTGCAGTTATAACACCAAAAGTTCCCCCAACTGTAATATTTTAATTTATTTAAAAAAAAGTTACATTTTAATATGGCAAAAATTTGTTAATAGCACTGTTGTTTCCGAAGTTGGTGTACCTACTCAAATTTGGTAGGAAAGTTTTATAGAAACAAAGTGAAAAATATAATATTATATTTAAAAATTATTTGAGAGTTAGGTGCTACAGGGTGATAAAATATAAATATTTGAATTTTGACTAATTAAATTTAAAAGTATCATTTATTTAACAGCTCACCATACACTACTATATCGTTTGCCCACCTAACGATTTTTACAGACATAATTGCCACAATAATTCTAAAACCTCTAAAAATTCTGACTATTAAAACAGTTGTATACCATAAATATGCGTTTTTAGTGAAAATATGTTAGTACTTACCCCTTTAATTGAAATAAAATTAACAGCAATGCAGCGAATAAGATACCTACATTTATTCTAGCCATTACTACACTACACTATTCATTTAGTTGTTCATTTGTAAACTATCGGTAAGAATTATAAACATACTCTAAATTTATCCTCATTAAAAATGTTATTTGAGGGGCAACGCTTGTTTATTCGTTGAGAATTAAATAGAAAATTCGGTTCATTAGATTGTAATAGAATTATATAACTGCCTATTATATTTTTTATTTATGTACGTTCGATTACGTTTCCATTAAAATGAAGAAAATACAAAAAAATCTGAAGCAACACGACCAGCCGAAAAGTGAAACCATTTACCAAAATGAATATACAGGGTGATTTTTAACCTATACGCATAAACTTGGGAAATTATTGCTGATAACAAATAATGACTAATAATGAAAAAAAAGTAAGTAAAATATTTTTATTTACGGAGATAACAAACTATTTGAAATAAAAACAAAAAACGTAAATTCCATTAAATTGAATGCGCACTAAATATTTTTATTTACGGATATAACAAACTATTTGAAATAAAAACAAAAAACGTAAATTCCATTAAATTAAATGTGCATTTACTGATAAAGTTGAAAATTTTTGTGAAAAAAAACTCAAATTATTTCAGAATCTAAAAATATTTTACTTATTTATTTTATTATTATTAATATTACACTTATTTATTTTTAAAAACTTTTTCATTATTAGTCATTATTTGTCATCAGCAATAATTTCCCAAGTTTATGCGTATACGTTAAAAATCACCCTGTATAAATTACTTTCAGTGGCTGTGACAGAAAAATATTGTAACAAGTGATGTCGATGAAATTGTTCTCTTTAGATTAATTATATGTGACATTAATGATGGAAATAAATTTAGATGAGTGTCCATTTTCATTATATCAAAATCTCTATTGTATTTCATGGTTGTTACCTATAAAAGGTAGGAGTTGACTCAACTTATGGTTAACCAAGACGATATAACTTATATTAATTCAGTAAAAAATAAAAGCAATTAACGTGTGTTTCTAATAAACTTAAAATGAACATTTTGGACTCTTAATGGAAAGCCCGCTTTTATTTACAGGTATGTTTCTTTGTTGCAGGGCTGAACAATCTCCCTTCATCAAGAATCGCTACACGTACCAGCTGTAAAGCCGGGAGCAGATTTCCAATAGCCTTGGAGAATGCAAGGATCACGAAGGAGCGTTAGAAAACGTTTCGTTGCGGTATCGCGTCCAGTATCAATTTCAATAAAATTGTCAACGATATCCGAAAAGAGAATAAATTTGTTCTTTCCGAATCTAATAACATAAAAGGTTTAAATAAAAGGTTTTTATTTTAACTTTTTTTACTTTTTTTTAGTAGTGTATAATGTGATTATATTAAGAGAGTACATAAAATAAAGTTTTGATTATTTTAACGTTAATGTTTTCTTTCCTGCTTTATATACATATGTAAGTATACTTTATATTTTCGTATGCATGACTGGTAGTACACATTGATCGAATGTTTTCTTCTTTAGATAAAGAGACATTCTAGATTTGAAGATGATTGAGTTTCTTTCATAATGTACTCCAAGCTAACTTAATTCTTTTGTTGATTCCTGGTAGCAGAAATCCTGAGTTATATATTAGTTATCCTAAATATATTTCTCTTCTTCTTTCTTAAAGTGCCGTCTCCATTCAGTGAAGATCGGCAACAACCATGGCAAATTCCTCTCTATTTTTCGCTCTTCTCAGCAAAGTATGTGAGTCCAGGCCTGTCCAATCTCTGATGTTCTTCAGCCAGGAGCATTGTCGTCGTCCGGGTCCGCGCTTTCCCTCAATTTTACCCTCGATGATGAGCTGAAGGAATTCATACTTGCTATGTCTCATGATATGGCCTAAATAGGCTGCTTTCCTCTTTTTTATTATGTCGGGGAGTTCTCTGTCCTTGTTCATTTGGTTTAGTACTCGTTCATTCGAGACACGGTCAGTCCATGGTATTCTCAGCATTCTGCGATACATCCACATCTCAAATGCTTCCAACTTATTCATTGCGCTTACTTTGAGTGTCCACGACTCAACCCCATAGAGAAGTGTGGAAAGTACGTAGCACTTGACGAAGTTGTCTTTTATATGGATGTTGAGACGTTTATCGCACAGTAGGTTCCGCAATTTTAGGAAGTTTGATCTAGCCATCTCAATTCGAGCTCTGATCTCAATGTCTGGGTTTAGGTCTTCACTAATCCAACTGCCCAAATATCTACTTACTAACTAACTAACTATACGTACTAACTACTGGGAACTAACAATAATCATAATTACTTTATTTTTTTTGCTAATTCATATTGAGATCTACTCTAACTTTATTGCTGAATGTAAACCTGGACAATTAAAACCGACTTTATAAAAATTGCAGGTCATACAACTATCGACGTTGTATGACCTGTAATTTTAATTTTGCAAACAAAATATGCTGGGAATAACAAGAAAGACCATAAGAGAATATTGGATACGCCAAAAAACCTAGGTAATATATGTCATACATGGAATCAAATCCCTCAAGTGGCAATGGGCAAGACACCTGGCAAGAAGGATCAATAACAGATGGACCACAAAAATTAGAGCATGGTACCCACGAGAAATTAAAAGACCTAGAAGAAGACCAAACCTAAAATGTGACCATGATATTAGGAAATTAGCAAGGATAACTTGGACCCGCATAGTCAACAATAGACGACAATGAGTCCAACTACAAAGAAATTATATAAATATATGACGGAAACTACACCATAATTGGAAATGGTTGAATAAGCTGCAAACGATAATGATGATGATTATACCTTGTATTTATAATTACTTATCTTTACCGAAATTTTACATGATATGACAGCGTTTTTAATTCATTTTTCTATAAGCAAAAATTCTGCAAAATATTAAAAAAAGCAGAAAAGCTAAAAATACTATGTTATTTTAGTTTGGACCGAAATGATCCACATATTCGTTTAAAATTGAAATGAGATAATATTTTTTGTTGCTTTTTCCCCGGAATAGAATAAAAAACGTTGTGTCCCTAAGAAAATGTCAGTTTGTTTTGCGATGAATGGAAAAATATCAGAAATGTAAGGAAAAACCTCCTTTTGTTTGTGTATGGAAATGCTCTATATTATGATTTTATTTAGCTTTAGCACGTTACCAGAAAAATATTATTCATTGAGAAACCAACAGAAAACAGTAAATTTAAAATTTGCATTTAAAGGGAAGCAGTATAATATATAAGAAACTATAGAAAGGAATCATACACGCAGAAGTATTTTAGATATTTTGTTACCTTTTTTGAGCTACCTAAAGTGTTTTGGAATGGTTTTGTTCTTTGCTCTTTTTGTCTTTTTTGCTTCTCACGATGAGAAGAGATGTACATCCTGAAACGTTAAGCATTTTTGTCGGTTATGCAAATTTATTTTATTAGTAATATACCACTAACAAATTGGTCTCCGTTGATTCAACACAGTGGTGTTCAAAAGTCATTTTTTTATTTTGTAGATTTTCTAAAATTTCGATAAGACTAAACGATAAATCTAGTAGGCTACATTCATGTAATCTAGTAGGCTACATTCATATATATATATATATATATATATATATATATATATATATATATATATATATATATATATATATATATATATATATATATATATATATATATATATATATATATATATATATATATATATATATATATATATATATATATATATATATATATATATGTTAGGTGTTACCAATAATTTTTGACACTAAGCTTTATATATTTTAAATTAATTAAAGTTTGGATTTATTTTTGACTGTTTGACACTTAGGCACTTTTAAATAGAGGTAAGTTCTATTATTATTTAAATAGAATGTATTCTATGTCCACGGAATATTGGGACACCCTGTATATTACCAGAGTCTTAATTATAATGCTTAAAATTCTTTTAATATTAGAATACAATCGAAAATGTTTAATAATGGTTTTCCTTTTTTTTAATTTGTTTTATAATAAGCGGACCTGCCATGTGCCTTTATTTAATCTTACTTAATACACACACTGGGTAAATAGAATTAACTCACGTGTTTTGTTTAATACAACAAATATTTATCTCATTATCACAATATTAACTCCAACAGTAATTGTTATAGGTACCTATGCTATTAAAAAATATCTTTACATTTTTTTTAATACTTATTTGTAAAGTAAAAATACTTTACATATAGCGCAGAAGATAATGGTTAATACCATAGGAACACCATGAGAAAATAATAATATTAATAATTAATAAAGTATCGTTAACATATCGAAGCCAAATTTTAGATTTGAAGACTGCAGAGCTAATGGCATGGATCTCAAAACATTCCACAATATTAGCTATCACTGGTAAACCATCATTTTTATTTTAAAAAAATATGTACAAAAAGGTGAAGCAATAAAGCCAGGCATTGCAGGCCATGTGTGGTCCAAGCAGCACAATATAAAGTGGTCAAAAGATCGGGTTGTCCACAGGAAATCTCAATGGAAAATCGCAAATTTAATGAAGACGTTTTTATATAAAATCGGGCAATTCAAGTATGGATATCTCTAAGATATGGCAATCGCTTATAAAACGCACTAGTGCTGGCATTCTCAGTGGACAACCTAACGCATGACTGCACCCAACTTTTTCACGAGTGAATGATGAGTGAGTGCCGTGCTCAAGTATACATACAACCTCAGTAGTTTTAAGATTTAGATTAATTCAGACTTGATAACGGTCAGTGATATTTCTGACCGAAACGTAGTGTAAGTTAAAATAAATGGACAATAAAAGTCCGAAAGTCGTTTAGATTCAATACTGAATCATTGCCCCAAATTCAAGGAAACTAATCATATATGATTTTCGTTAATAAGATTTTTCAGTACATTATTCCAATCATCATAAAATAAACATAAATATAACACTTAATTTTAGTGTATTATTGATTTATCAATCCGCAATAACATTTGGCAGAACAAGATTATAGAATATAAGTCAAATACCAATATACTCTAAAAAGATTTAAAAAATAATAATTTTAAAGATAATACTCATCTAATCCATGAAATGATCTAATACATTTTGTTATTTCTAGTTTCGCCGATAAAAAAAATCTTAATACCAGATAAATCAGTGTGTAGATAAGATTTTTCAACATAAATGGAGTGCGTGTACTCTGATTTTTTTATTCTGTTACAAATTGGTTTAGAAACATGACAGAAATCAAAAATTTCTTTTACATATTAATTTTGTTTTCACCTCATTTACTTAACAGGTTAGTAATAATATATTTTTTTATTAATTATTTTATTTTTCTTTTATTTGAGTTAACGAATTTTTTTTTCATCAATGATTTTTTTTTTCATTTCAAATTAAAACATCATTTCAAACATATTCTTATCAACTTTAAAAACAAAGCATTATATTAGAAAATAAATTTTCTACATGATTAAATTAGTGCCGTATGATTAAAAAAGGCGTCAAAGACGGCTGGGAAATGACAATCGATGGTAATTTTGGCGAGGTCAATCTCTAGAGATCATTTACTAAGAATTGGAATAAAACTTGTCTAAAATTAACGTTAATTATATAAGATTAAAAAGAATAAAACGTTTCCAGATATGTTTTCTCAATATAAAAATAAATTACAACCTTCTGAATTCCAACTGGGAGTAAGTATTAACCATTAAAAAATAAAGAAGAGTATGAGCCAAAAAATGGCATCTAGAGCTTTACCTCGCCTAATCATCACCGATTGTCATTCCCCAGCCGTCTTTGACGCCGTTTTTTTTTCAATCGTATGGTATTTTATCTTTATAAATTTCATTTACAGTGTTTACTCAGCTTACTACTACAAATGCCAAGAAAGCTACTGCATCAAAGAAGAAATCACTAATAACACTACCGATCCACTGCTGAGTTTACCAGAATGCAACGTACTTTGCCTAGATTCAGCAGGTCTATGGCCCAAACCCACTGGAAATGTCAGCATTTCAAATTTAACCGAAATAAATTCCAGTAACTTCATATTCAGTCCATTTCCGAATTCTTCGATATATAACTTGGTCAATAAGAGCATCGAAATATTTCGTTATCAAATCAACGAACTGAAACCTTGTAGATTCTTTCTCAAATCAACAAGTTCAAACTTAACTTCAGTAAATATAACTTTGAATATCTCAGATGTTGAATCAAATACTCCAAAAATTGATACAGATGAAAATTACAATCTTACTGCTGTGTTTGATGAAGAAAATAATGTTATTCAAGTAACCGTAAATTCAGCAACATATTTCGGAGCTAGACATGGACTTGAGACTCTTACCCAGCTTGTAGTTTTTGATGATATAAGAAACAGAATTCTTCTACCCAGCAATATTAGTATTTCTGATGGACCCAAATTTAAATGGAGAGGAATAGTATTAGACACCTCCAGAAACTTCATAACACCCAAAGCCATTAAAAGAACCCTCAAAGGCATGGCTGCTTCGAAGTTAAATACATTTCACTGGCATATTACTGACACAGCAAGCTTTCCATATGTATCTCAATCCAGGCCTGAGCTTTCTGAAGCTGGTGCGTACAGCGCGAGGAAAGTTTATGATGACCAAACTGTAAGGGATATTGTTGAGTATGGTAGGGTGAGGGGTATAAAGGTTGTTCCTGAATTGGATGCACCAGCTCATGTTGGGGAAGGATGGCAGAATACCGGGGTATTGACGTGTTTCAACTGGACACCTTGGGGTTCATACTGTAACGAGCCACCATGTGGACAGTTTGATATTTCACAGTCAGAAATATTCAATTATCTTGAAGGTAAAGGTTTTTCTTTATTATCTAGTTATTATCACTTATTTAAAACTCACCCCGTTGTCGACAGTAGTTGGCCGAGTTTTGCCTTTAAGATATCCCCATAAAAAAATCAAGAGTAAAAAAATCAGGAGAATTTAAGTATTTTATTAATTAGTGAATGCAGACTGCCGTTTATCAATTAATTGAATCATATCAATTCTCTCTGCTGCAGGATCAGTTCTCATTCTCGGCAATTTTCTGAGAAGTTTTTTAGTTTCAACTGTCACAAAATGATAAGTAGTTGTAAAAGTTGAATTAATTTGACATCTATGTTGGAGTAACGTCAGACATATCACTGGCATCTAGATTTTATCAAATAATAAAGATCTACTGACACTAAATCATAAAAATGAAAATATCTAGGAAAGTCTTTGTCTACTATTGAACATAAGAATAATAAATACTGAATATTTAATTTAAAATAAAAAATAACTTGCTTTTAAAAGTTCAATATTAATTTTTGTCTCAATTTGTATAAATTTTTGTGTAAAGTTTTAGTTTAATTTGAAGTACAACGATTATTTTAGATACCATATTAGGCTATAACGGATAAATTCTAATTTAGGTAGTTTTTATTGAAATTTAGAACTTTTTCTTCAATTTTAGAAAATATTAAATCTCAAAAACCTTAAATTTTAGTCATGTTCTTCTATAATGAAACTCTCCTTTATTTTTTTTCTAGAATCCAAAAATCAATTATTATATATAGTATGTTTAATTATAAAAAAAAAACATAACTTTGACGTGTAACTTTTCTTGAGAACACCCTGTAAAACTAATTTTTTCAATACAAACTATCGTTGTTCTTCGTCGTCGGTGCCTCCACGTAGTATGTGGGGCGCAACCCTATATAATCTAGAACTAACCGATTAAAATATTTCTTTCAGATATCTATGGAGATATGCTAGACCAATTTGGCACAGAAATATTCCACATGGGTGGGGACGAAATCAACATAAATTGCTGGAACAACACAGACACCATGACTGACTGGATGGTAAACGAGAAAGGCTGGAACCTAACAAAATCCGGATTCTACGAAGCCTGGATCTACTTCCAGCAAGAAGCTCAGGCAAGACTTTGGAACAAGGCCGGAAAAGATGTACCAATAATACTCTGGAGCAGCGATTTAACAGCTCTGGACAATGTCACCGATGTTCTACCTACGGAAAATTATTACATACAAGTTTGGACTACTGCGGACGACTCAGCAATTCAAACTTTGCTGAATAAGAATTATACAATTATTTTGAGTAACTATGACGCTCTGTATTTGGATTGTGGTTTGTCTTCTTGGGTTTCAACTGGTAATAACTGGTGTAGTCCATACAAGGGATGGCAAACTGTGTATGACAACAAACCCTCAGATATAGCAGGTAATTTGGGGATGTATTGAATTTTAAATATGATTTTTACTACCATTATTATTGAAAGTTTATAGTATTCACAGAAATATATATAGTTTATAGTTGTCTTGATCTCGCTGTATATCACAGTTCATGTCACACAACTAAGAAATAGTGTGTGTGTTGTTTTCATACAAATTTTCTTACATATTCTGGGCTAAAACTGTTTTTTTCTTTAAATCTCAGGAAACAAGACTAGTCAAGTTCTAGGAGGTGAAGTGGCTCTGTGGACCGAACAAACCGATTCAAGTTCCGTTGATGTTCGCCTCTGGCCTAGAGCAGCAGCTCTGGCGGAGACTCTGTGGACAGACCCTAGTACTGATTACAGTGCAGCAGAAGAAAGGATGTTACTGCATAGAGAACGATTGGTAGACTTGGGAATTAATGCAGATGCTTTGGAGCCGGAATGGTGCTTCAAATACCAGCAGCATTGTCCTTCAAGTGGTGTGTTTAATGTATGATAACTAGTAGTGCGTGTAATAGTGTATTAATTCGAAATAAAGCTATATTAGAGTATAGGACAATTAATAAAACTTAATAAAAGTCGTAATTTTGTCACTATAATTGTTCACTTTTAATACATACATATACAAATATTTTTTATATCTACCTTATTACTTTGTCTATGATTATTACGGAAAGAAATTCTAATAAAGTTATTAGCAACTTTCCTGAATAAAAGCTGGACAATATAAAATTCTAATTGGTTAACATTAGTCCTCGCATTTTGTGAGACTTTCAGGTCGTAACCTGATATTGAGCGCAGCTGAAACACGCTCAAATTATCTATGTATTTTCAATAAAAACCGCAAAACTTAAAAAACAATATCATTTTTTACGTCTCTAGCGCAGTTTAACGGCAAAATGGGTTGGTCATGATCTCGTTTTTGTTCAAAATAATTGAGCAGAGACAAACAAGTTGCTGATTTCGACAATTTCGTGGTTTTGACATTTTATTTTGAAATTTATTGAAAATCGCAGTTTATACTAAACAACACGCAGATTTAATTTCAAATTTGTCGTAGAAAACTCAGACTCAGGCTAGAATCGAAAATGAGAAATATCAGATATATGTATCAGATTTGCAAAGAAAAATCGCATGACAGCCGGCAGCCATGACTACCAACATAAAAACTTTTTTATCGGCCAATTCAGCATTGTAAAAAGAAGAAAAAAGTGTACTCTAAGTTTTAAACGAATTTTTATTTATTATAAATTTAGTTTGGTAATAGTTTCTCTAGTGTTTAAAACCAATTTCTAAAGCAATTTGTATAAATCGGTCAGTATTTCTTAATATTCCATCAATTTATCAAAACATTCCATGCCTAATTGACCACCCTATACCAAAGCAATCACTCAAAATGACCCTCTCCTATAAATTCCTTTTCTCTTTCATATACCAGACGCATTAATTTTATTCTACGCTCAAGATATGTGGCTATTTTGTCCGAAAAATGTCCCTATAAGAACTCTCAACGGTTCGCCTTACATTAGAAATACACACATTACACGAGATGGGCTCATTTAACGCTACAAATGAGGGATATCAAGTTGCACTTAACTATAAATATTGTCCGGGTATAGGGTGGCTTATAAACATTATCGTATATGGAGCTTTTGTTCGTGTTAGATTGGAATTAAGGAGAGCTTTCGTTGGTAATAAAGAGTAATAAAAGGAAACAGAAATGATAGTTGTTTTTTTTATTAATTTTTATATCTTTTGTTTAGGTTAATTAAAGCAAAATATACTGATAATTAAAGTCATAAATACTAAAAAATATGTATTATTTCTTACTGATTTAGCTTATGTCGTATTGGTTACGCTAACCATAGAGTTATAACTCTCTTGGAACACGGGAATTAAGATGCTATAATTTCCTCTACCTTTTATAAGCAACAACCATGAAATAAAATAAAGATTTTTAAGTATTAAATAAAAATCACACTCATCTAACTACTCTAATAATTTATATACATGATTAAAAATCGGGTGGGATCATAAATATGCGCCTTTCAGATTTTTGAAAAAGTTCATGGCTTACTAGATATTTCGAAAAAAACAAATTTTGGCTATTTTAAAAATTGTCCGTAATTCCATTATAAGCTATTTTAGACAAAACGTTTTCAGATAAAAGTTGTAGATAATCACATCCTTAAAGAGATCGTGTCCTCCGCTTTTTTCTAAAGCCTGTCATTTTTGACATATGATACAAACATATGTTTTCTTAAATGGAAACCATAATTGGCCATGACTTCATAAAAAGCGCCATTTTTTAAGCTTTTTGGTGATATAAGCTATAATATGTTTTCTTCGAATAATTACTGAGTTCATATTTATTTCTTTTTTTCTTTTATTGTAAATAAATTTAATTTATATTTACAATTTTTGTTTATTTTAATTTACAAAGTTTGGATGTAACACCTTCACATTTATGAGAGCAAAGACGATTGAACTTGTTCCCGTGGCTAAGTGAAATTGTTTAAAAATGATAAGAATTGGCTATAACTCAGTAATTTTTCGAAGAAAAGATATTATAGATTATAGCTTATATCGCTGAAAAGCTTAAAAAATGGCGTTTTTTATGAAGTCATGGCCAACTATGGTTTCCATTTAAAAAAACATATGTTTGTGTCATATGTCAAAAATGACAGGCTTTAGAAAAAACGGAGGACACAATCTCATTAAGGATGTGATTATCTACAACTTTTATCTGAAAACTTTTTCTCTAAAATAGTTTATAATGGAATTAGGGACAATTTTTAAAATAGCCGAAATTTGTTTTTTTCGAAATATCTAGTAAGACATGAACTTTTTCAAAAATCTGCATATTTATGACCCCACAAAACTGCAATTCTTTTCCCGTTTTTCCTACTCTCTATCTCCAGTAGATTCCGAGATACCCATAGAGAACATCGTAGAAAACTCACCCTGTCCATAAAGGAAATTATAGTGACGCTTGTTATTTTCCAGAGTAATAGCTGGATAAAAGGACACAAGTCGACAAAAACGCGCGTCAGCGGTAGCAGTAACAACGTAACGACAATACGTATTTGACAAGATAAAACACTAGCGAAAAGAAATCTCCCTCCTTCGAATAAAAACCGTGTGAGAAATGTCGGAGGTTATTTACTGGAGTGGAAATTCTTGTAAGGCTGTTAATAATAGTTTCGGCACTTTGTTATTTGCTATCGAGAGGAACTTTTCTACTCTCAGACAGAAGCTAAAGTTCTCTGTGCATGGCTGCCAGTGCGAGTGTGTGCTATTTCCTGTATTGCAGAAGTTTATTATCTATATATACAAGCGAATAAAACTTCATCTTCAATCGAGAAACAAAAGGATGTTGAGAATTGTTTCCCGTGCTATAGTGCATACAGAAATAATTGAAAGCATACACAACATTGAGGAGAATCAAAATAATATCTTTAGACCTGGACAAAAAAATAAAGTTTATTTTCTTTTTTTAGAGCATTTAAATAAAACTTTGCACTTAACAATAAAGTATTTTCATCAGTCATCAGTATTGTTACGTTTTTCGTCGGTTCCGTGTGGATAGAAAGTCACAATTTATTTAAACACTATTTATTTAACACTAATTAACAAAAACAATAACGATAAAAGACTTATAGAACTATTTACAAACGATTTATAACTAAGAATTTATTTTGAATTTTCGCGCGTCAACTGCACTGGTATATTTATAACTGCCCTCTCTAGGCCACTGCCGCCGGCTTTTATACCGACAGGTAAAAGAAATCTAGAATAGTCCAAAAATCGTTAGGCGCATAGAGAAGGTTTTCGAAGGTTCTCGTATGTACGAGTCCATTCTAGTGGGTCTCGATTCTTCTCGAACGAATGAATCATTGCGGGGTCTATGCGATGTTAAGGTCATCCGAGGGCGGGCCATATTGTGAGGTTAGGTCGAGTCCACACCGGCTCGCAACACTGCCCCCTTCTTAGGCACATGCTCGTCCCGAGATGTATACGGTGAATGAAGGTATTTGCAAAGCTGGCCCCTGGTACATTGCGAAGTCTGGTAGAAATAGCAGTCTACAGTTTTCTCTCCCGATCTCAGCTTTGGGTTGTAGCAGCAAACGAGGATCTCGATTCCCGTAAATCTGAACAAGACTTCAATCATGTTCCGGATTGTACGCCAACTCAAACCATCGAGTCCACACGCCAGCTTCGGAATGGCTAATCGTGCAATGTTGTTGTTTAGCAGGGCTTCTCTCAGTTCAATCAGGGTCTTCCATAGATTGAGATAAGTCGGCTTACTCGGGGACCATTCCTTGGTGACCAGGTAGAAGATGTGCCTTGCTTGACCATGTGCATTGTCGGTTAGCCTCAAGACGCTTCCAACCTCTGGATCCTGTCGGCGTAGTTCTCCGACACGCCCAAACTTCTCATTGAACGTCGCAGCGATTCCTCTGGACATCCGCAAATCTCGAGCCACACAATGAGCGAGCGAATAATCAGGAGGCACGGAAAAGAGGTCTCGTTGATCTTCTTTGGTTACACCATAGCGAGCCTTCTCACTGCTGTTGTATCGGGCCATGAAATCGTCAAAGGACATCTCCGAATCAGGGGGATCAAAGCTGCAGGTTCTCACGGTCCCAGCACGATCTTCTATTTCGCCTTGGTAGGGGCTCAAACGGTTGAAATGGACTACCCTCGGTTTTCCTTTTGGCAATTTTCTGATACGGTATACGACGTCATTAATTCTATCCATGACTTCGTATGGCCCTTCCCACGAGGATTGTAGCTTCGGAGATAACCCACGACGTCTCTGCGGGTTATATAGCCACACCAACTTCCCTGGTTGGTATCCTCCATGCTCAGCTTGAATGTCGTAGTGTTCCTTCATTCGGTCACTAGCACTTTGAATATTTAGGCGGACTCTCTGATGAATGTCGTCCATCCTTTGACGTAGTGTGTGGACATAATCTTCTCCGGCGACTTCTTCTCCCGGTCGGCAACCAAATTTCAGATCACAGGGTAGGCGCACTTCCCGTCCCATAACGATGCTGGCTGGAGTTTGCCCTGTAGATTCTTGGACGGATGAACGGTAGGCCAACAGGAACAGGTGAAGAAATTTGTCCCAGTCTCTTTGGTGGTCAGAGACTACTTTGGCCAGATAACGGTTGATAGTTCTGTTCATGCGTTCAACCATCCCATCGGATTGTGGATGTAGAGCAGTCGTCCTGGTCTTGCGGATGTTCAGGACTTCACAGACGCCTTGGAACAGATTGGACTCAAAGTTTCTTCCCTGATCTGAATGAAGCTCCATGGGAACACCAAACCTGCAGATCCATTCTTTAACAAGGGCATCAGCAATCGTGGACGCTTCTTGATTTGGCAACGCGTAGGCCTCGACCCATTTGCTGAAGTAATCCATTACTACCACAATGTATTTGTTGCCATCGTTCGTCTCCGGGAAAGGACCAGCCACGTCGATCGCTATTCGTTCGAAGGGACTACCAACATTGTACTGGCGCATAGGGGCTTTACCACGCTTTTGTGGCCCATTAATGGCTGCGCAAATGTCACATTTCTTACACCAGGCCCTCACATCTTCTTTGCAGTTCACCCAGT